GTTATAAAGCAATCGTGTGACATTTCCGAAGCCCACTGCATCCCGTTCCCTTCAAACTGAAATCGGCCGATCAGCGAACGAGTCATGACAAGTGGTGGACATTAGGCATATTTTCAAATAAAGCTGTGCGGGCGAACCTTGGCATCAAATTGCTAATGTCTTCCTTGTTGTAGCAACGCAAACAACAGCTATCATTAGCGGTAATTATGAATAGTTTAATAAACAGTCGTATATAAAAGTCAGAAAACTATACAGACGCCCTAAGTACACAAAGCAGCCGACTATCACAGTTGTGAACTCATCAATCGAGAGGAAGGACTGGAGAGGAGCTCGGATCGGCACAAGTATAAGGTCGGTGCTTTCTTGGAAGGTTATGGAAAGATTGAATGGATCACATGACGGCTTAAACAGTTTTCCGTTGTTCTTCATGAGAACGCTGCCAGAAAGCAAAGGAAATTTGTTCCGTGTCCCAAGCGCCCTTCAGAATAAAGTCCTCTAGAGCCTTTCGAGAATAGCAGTGGTGCCAGGCGGATAGATCACAGCTGCAGTCCGAACCCTCAGGTGGTGGTTTAGTCTGGATATTGTTTACACATCGTTTGCACCTGAACCTACAAAAGAGACATGTTGTTTTAATGACTCATTTGCGTCGGTCTTAGACACGCGAATTCACCAGCAGATCATTTTGAACCTACTTGTCGTGGGTGTCGGAGAGTGTGTCTGCATGGTAGGAAAACAGTTCACGCAGTTCACCCAGGCTAAAGTGCCGTTCCACTTCTTCCATCTGATCTACCACACAGCTGCTGAGAGCTTTCTTGTGGGCCTGACGTTGGAGCATTTTCTCCTCAATTGTCCCCGCCTGGGAGGGCAAAGTGTTGGTTAGAAGCAAAACTTACAAAAAGGATCAATAATTAAACAGGTGGATGTATACTGCAGACTTCACGTACCGATATGAGGCGGTAGATGTAGCACTGCTTTTTCTGTCCATCACGCCAAATCCTAGCCATGGCCTGTTCATCGTTAGCTGGGTTCCAATCAGGATCAAACATCACCAAACGGTTGGCACCGATAAGATTGAGGCCACATCCGCCAGCCTTACTGCTTAGCATAAATACCAGTTCTTTGGACTGAGAAGCGTGACAAAAAAGAATACAGGTCGGCGTTAGACTAGCATAATCTACAAGGGTGCCAGCGCATTTGCGTATAAAAAGAGTTTGACGTGTGTTAACCGCTGTATGAAGTTTCAACCATATTTGTTTTCAATTTGTGGTACTATTAAGTGGACTAGCGGCTGTTAGTAAGGTAGAATTGGCTTTCCATAAGCACTCCGATATCTATATCATTATAAAAATTTCAATTCACGCTCCACTGTCGAAAGTGGCCATTTAGTCAACTGTCGCTTATGTACGCCCAAACTCGAGTTGCATGAAGTAGTTAGAAAGAAATTCGATCATCTTGTGATAGTTTTGATGCACCTTCGAGCCCCAGTCCACCCGGTACGTCTATATTTTTTCTGCGTTTGGTGACCGGTTTGTGACAGAAGTCGAAGCCACAGGCCGATAAAGGTCTTGTTCCATTTTTAATCCAAGCGGTGGTGACTCTTAGATCACCAGAGTTCCGTTTTCAATGCCCCAAAATCTGGTAGAACAAATTTTCGCGTGTCAACGTGTTATTTTTTATATATTCGAGGACGGCTAAACTGGATATGATCAGAGCACTGTCAAGTACAAATGGGTGCACGCAAATTATGTACTAAATACGTACTATATACTAACGCCAATCGGGATGAAGTTAAATTTGCCAGGAGAAGGAGAACTCATGTGGGAGATAGAAAAGACATGCCACCGACTGGCATTTTCAAACAGCGGAAAACTTACGCTTGGATCGTTAAAACGTTCGACAATCTGAGAGCGTTTTTTGATAGTCATGGTGCCATCGAGGCGGAAGTATCCGTAGCTAAAATAGGTAAGTACGAAAGTAAATCCTGTGTGCATAAATCTTTTCAGGAAACAAATGTGTGTG